ATCAATGTCCTTGGTGTTCTTATCTTGCAACCTGAAAAGACGAGGGCCATGTCCCAGCATATATTACGTGGGACCGAGTCGAGGGTGCGGTGTTCTCCAGTCTGGTAGTTCTTGTAGCCTTTCATCCAAGGCTCGGTCTATGAATACCACCCTGATATACTCAAGATGTTTTGAATAGGCAAAAAAAGGCGCCATGAGACCTTTCTCGTGGCCCCAGTTGTCCCGTTGACTGAACCAGAGGCGGGAAGAAAGGTTGGAAAAGAGAAGAAATGCGCGCTTGTATATTCATCAATCTTATGTACAGAAGCCCCGGGCGTTTTCCTTCGCTAACCAGTAGCGAGGAGTATTTGGACAGTCGACCAAACATCTACAGAGATCGTCGTTAGTACCAGGCTAGGTGAAGTTGAACAGAATTCAAACAGATACGTACGTTATTACATCATCCCAAGCTTTGCAAAGACAATCTCGATCAGTCTTCTTGCACTCTTGCGGCTATCAAGATATTAGCTTCGAACCAACACCAGGAAGGCTTCTCGTACTGTTATTGTTTCAATACATCTCTGGTAGATCGCTGCACACTCTGCTGTTCCTGAGGGCTTTGCTGACACATAGGCTGCGGCCAGGAGAATAAGGCTCGTGATGAATTTCATGGTGAAAGATTTTGAGATGTGAAGTATGATACAGAACAAAGTCTTGGCAGGGAATTCGAGTGAAAGCCTTGAAACTTATACGAGCTCTCATTGTGGCAATTGAATCATAAGATTCAGGTCCGAGCCCAGCCCACTGCATCATGAGGAATGTGAGACATTCGAGACCAAGAGCAAAGGAGCCACTATCCCCAGCTCGTCGGAATTGGTGCAACACTAGACGGTTTCCGTAGCATTAGCGCGAGGGAACTCAAGCCACTGCCCATTGTCGTAAAGACCGCAGTGCCTGGAATTTACTTGTAAGGTTGAAGCTACACTGAACGACAACGCATAGTTACTAGTAACTAAAGGACCCTGGACCTGAAGGCCGTGACAGCCGGCTCCCGGCTCGTATAGAAAGAAACGGCCTCGAAAGTGGTTGAACTAGGGATAGTGCCCGTCGTCTTGACTCTTGATTCCCAGGTATTTGGGTCGTTCGGTAGATGAACCGAGCGGAACTAGGCGGGATACGGCGAAACACTGTGCTGTGTTGGACTAAGCCGATGAGAGGACAATTGGAGCTAATATGAGAAGGTATAATTATCAGACGGACTACGTTAAAATTCAATAGCTCAGCCCTTATGCTTAGACCGACCTAGACTGGAAGTCTCGAGCACGGATGGCTTTAGAGTTACGCCTGAAAACGTTGATGTCGATCAGGTCAAGTCTATTCGAAAACCATCCCTTGACTATTAGGCTGGATGTCCTAGGCTGGTTAATTCTTAGAAGTCCCGAGGGTTTGTGATAAAAGGATGTTAGTAGAAGCGGAAGGATTCCTATGGTGCAAGATACTGGCTGATGTAAATGATCCACTGATACTGATCGACCCTGAGCATTGCACTCACTCAAGATGAGTATATCGGTAACAAGAAACCGTATTCAACTATCAGATTATCAAGCTGCAAGTCAACGGTTAGCAAAAGAAAACAAGAGACCGTGGCCGTCACTTACAAGACTTAGGAAATCAAGACAAGTCGGCGATCGGCCTTAGCATAGCCCCGATCTTAACAGCATATTTCAATTTCCACATCGCAAATATCGAGGCGATGACTCCAGAGACAGCAGTCATGAAGGAAGCCTTTCCAATCATCTTGGCAAAAGCTATCCACCACATCAAGCTATGGGCCAAAACAAACTGTTTTGAATCATTCAGCTTCGGGAACTCCCCCTCAGGAATCTCCTTATCCAAAAACTTGCAAAGCGGACTCCATCCTTCTTGAACTTTGAACTCGAGCATTCTTTCGGCTGGAACTATTTTCTTGACGAGGTCGTAGTGCTCATGGAAGGCTTGGCGAGCTGGTGACTTGTCGGAGAAGTCACTCATGGTATGAAAGTTAGCGGGCATGACCTTCTTTGAAAACTCCCAGAATGGGCCGGCTAGTGCGGTATCCCATCTCGCGAGAGTATTCCATAGAGGCCACCGAAGAACTCGACCTCCCGTCGAGTCCATACTTCGAAGCCAGCTATTGACATCACGCCAAGTGACGATAACTTTGGCCTCAGGGTACGCGGCCACAAGCTCTTCGGCGAAGCAAATGGCTGGCAGATCAGCCACAGCATCGTATGGTCCGAGTATCTTGTCAAACTCTTCACGACCCCAAGGCTTACCCTTCCCATAGAACTTGGCATCGAGGGCTTCACGCCAGAGATCAAGGTTCGTCTTGGGGCTGCCGAGTGAGAGCGACATGTGGTATGGCGTGTAGCCCAGTTGCCTAAGGGCCATTAAGAGAGCCGTGGTTCCTGTTCTTGATTGTCCGAGGCATAAGACGCGCATGGGCTTCGTACGAGTGACTGGGTAGGAACCTATGAGGCGGCCGGTGATCGGATGGGGCTTGATATTGTAGAGTTCGTGGGTCTTTTGAGAGTCGAAGGAATCAAGAAGGGGAGTCTCCTCGCTTGCCTCTGGACTGGACATATTGAGAGGGAGATTGGCTGTAGCCTTCGTAACGTTGTTTGGCCTAATTAAAATCAAGAGAGAGAGGAGATAGCCATCGAAAAGTCCAGACTGATTGCAAAGAATCCATTTTCAAAAATCAGGAAATGCTCATTCATACGTGTCTTATAAGCGCTAAAATACACGCCCGCAGCATGATGGAATGGCCACTTTGCTGACGCCTAGAGCTGACATCACTTGTTTTTGCCGGGTATTTCTGAGATGAGATGGTGTGAGGTGAAAGTGTTTGGATGGTCTGTGTAGATGGAAAAGGGACGTCAGATTCTACGTATATCCGATGCCAAGCAACATTAAGCCGACCAATCATGTTGAGAGCAGCGCCTGGATCCGATATCTAAGATTTGGCTTTACGGTTACTGTGAGAAATAATCTCGAACTGCTCATGTAAGCGGACATATTCTCCATCAGCACTTTTTGACAAGGTGGCCATAGGTCCACACCAAGTCTTCACTGCAGTCGAATTTGACAAGTTCATGATGCCACCGATGAAAAAAGCGATATATACGAAGAATCCCAATGTACAGTCTTCTAAGAACGGCCCCCAATCTTTCAGCCAGCAAATCACCTTCCTAGCAGCGTTCCACCAACCCCCCACTCCCAACTGTTCTTACGAGAACAGGAAAACAACTCCGTAATCTTAAGCAAAGTTGCCGCTGGCCGGGTATTCAGTCGAAGGCTTGGCCCCGACGTTCTTGACGATGATGGTGCTGCCGGTGGAGCTGGTGATTCTGACATCGACGGTATCGACCTGGAAACCGCTGGGGTTCTCGAAGAAGTTGTAGTCCTTTCGAGTCGTTCCAGTCCAGGTCTTTCCACTGTTGGTGCTGACTTCGAGGCTTTTGACGGGGAGGTTGCTGTTGCGGACTTGCATGCTGAACCAGTAAGCGCTGGTACCTGAGACAACTTTAGCTGATGAACTTGGAGTGCGGTAGGAGCAGAGCATATTGCCAACTCACCTTCTTTGTTACGAAGGACCAAAGGCGTAGTGATGTCGCAAGAAATCAGTCTCCAGCTGGTCTGAACAAGGCCGTTCGTGCCGCCAACAGCAGTAAAGGCATTTTCAAAGAGATCCAGGTGACCCTTGTTGCACTCGTTACACTTGTCGACGATCTAAGAGCAAGAAATATCAGCTCACACTCCACAAACCATCAGAACATACGAGTACTCACCATGGCCTTGATCTTCTTGCCGGTTGGGCCGGTGACTTCGATGCAGTTGCCACAAACCCCAGCATTGTCCCAGTTGGGACCAGAGAAAGCAGTGCCATAGATGCCAGAGGGAATCGTGTAGGATACAAAGCCACAGTTGCCTCCAGAGACATTGCCACCGTAGTGAGTCGAAGTTCCAGAGGTAACCTCGTCACTAAGATATCTTCCAGCAACAAGAGCTGGGCCAGCGAGGAGAACAGAAGTGAACTTCATGTTGAAGAGAAGAACGGAGGAGGATCTTTGAAGTTGGATAAGGGAGTAGTCGATGATCGGTGAGTGATCTGTGAAAATATCTTCAGTTCAATGACTAGACCGGCTCTTTTATACTCAGAACATCACAAAAAACCAGATACTGACCTATTCAACTTCTGACCTCAACTGATTCAGTCTCAAGGTCCTCTAATCTCCACCCGGGAAGCCCACGGGAACTAGCAGGGGTTCCCAGTCGGCAGTTGGTCGAGAACTTCGGAGCAACGCGTCCATGAAACCGCCAGCAATGAACAAAAGACACCCCGGTTTCATCTAGATCGTGATGAGCGTGCTTCAGGAAGAGACAGTAATTCGGCCGATGTTTCGGTATCCCACGGGGAGCCATCCCAGCCTTGCAAGGGGGGCCCCGGCCAATTTGTTTCAATCAGGCTACTTAGCCGCCCATGGCACCGTTGTAGTACGATAGATCGCTTTTAGAGTTTCGTATTGGAGTGACGAGCTGTATAAAGACTGGTGGAAAGTAACTAGGTATACATGTTCCGCCATGGTTCTTGAGGACTAATGCGTACAGCATGTAACATGAATCGCAACCGAATAGGCAGTTCGGTGCTTCCTTCGTCTATCGGGATCCCCGATAATAACCTATTTGAACTTTAGAGTTCTATCGTGGTCAGCTTGATGATAGTCTTATACCTATATAGGCGATCTCCCGAAGAATCAGCACTTACCTAAACAAATTCCATATGGGCTTCAGCAATGAGAAAAATGGTGCCATATCCATGTATATCGTGCATCCATAATCAGTAGGATGCCACTAATCCATTCAGCTGAAGTTGTCGTCCCGACAAAAAAATCAAAATAGCCTTGTTCATCCCAGTCGGCCGATGATGCATAGGTTCTAAGCCCCGGAACCTACACGAACCGACAGGTAGCTCCATCTTCTTACAGGGCAGAGGAGATCTCCGCGAGGAGACGAGCCCGGAAGGTCTTGTAGGGCCGGAAGAGGACCTGCTTCATGCCGATGGACAGCTCGGAGGACATGCCATCCTTTGGCTTCTTTAGGTCAAGGGGATACTCGAACTTGCTGACAAAAGCAACCGAGAACTCAGCGGTATAAAAATACATGAAGTCCTCGTTCTTGTCATCGGTCAAGGCAGCACAAGTCTGCACTAGTGTCAACAACATGCTCAACGAGTCATGTAAGCAGCAGGGGTAGGCTTACCTTGAAGATATGATCCTCGGCGAAAGGGTACTCGGGAGAGGTTTTATCCTCTGCTTGGGACTGAGCAAGTCCCAGAAGGACACAAAGGATGTAGGGGTCGCGCCACTGATCCTGGGGCTCAATCTTCTTGACTCGCAGTTCTCGTAACCACTTGGCGGCAGGGTCATGACGAAGACGGTTTGGAAGAGGGAAGAGACCTTCACGGAGGTTTCTGATCAGGTTCCCCTGGATGAAAGCGAATGCCCCAGCGTAACTGTCATCGCTAACAGCTCCGCGTTGGTTGAAGATCGCGCCCTGAAGATCAAGAGGCTTCTCTTCACCGAAGCAGAAGTACCCGCGAGGACTAGAATCTCCAAGTTAGGATTTCAAGCATGGAGACACTAAGATCTCAATTCTTACCGAAGGAGCTTGAGAGGTCCGTTGTCACAGATCAAGATCTTTAGGTTCTTGTTCTTCATCGAGGTTTGCGCGAACTGTCTGACGATTCGATAGTCAGACACCATGGCTGTTCCATCTTCAGGATTCTCAGAGGTCTCATCGGTGTCAGCTTCAACGAAAGAGGCTTTGAGAAGCTCAAGGTGAACCTCGGACCACTCGAGCGGATGAACCCAGACACGAACTCGAGGGTTCTGGGCGATAAGATCATGAACACGCTCGGGCTTTGATAACGACATGACGATAGGAAGATAGAGAAGAGAAATGAAAGAAAATGAAAATGAATGCGATGCGATGCGGAAGAATTATGGCTTGTTGAGATTCCAGGTTCGCGTTGACTAGTGAGGGGAATCTCAGTCTTGACTTGTGCTCAAGAAGTGTGGGATTATTTTTGACCTATGATCGTCTCACCTATTTTCCATTGGCACGTGAGCCCCAGCAGAAGGCCTCCGCCCAGCAACCCAAATATCAAATGTGTTTTCCAAACTCCACATTCGACTCCTGAAGGACCTTGGACTCAGTACAATAATACACTTGACATTATCTGAACAGTCTCCATGAAACCAAAGCCAAGTCCCAATGCTGCATTTACCAACGCTAAATATCAACTGCACATATCCCAGTCTGTCTTTGACCCATGGGTAACTCCGGATTTCATAAATCATGTCTTTCATACAGTTGACAAGGAGCATTTGTAGAATTCCTTCAGATCGTCGACTCTCCATTTTGTACTCCAGCCACTCTCCCTTTCGATTCGGTCCAACATTTCCAAGATCGCTTTATGCTCACTTGGATGGCTCATGCATCTTCCAGCAATCCAAAGTGGTTGCACGCTATTCGTCCATGCCCCGTGATGCTCATTCGACATACTTATGCCACATACCTGTCTTGCATGCCAAAGGATACTTCTTGGTTTGGAAGCATGACCTAGCCGTACTGTCGATGGTTGGTTCTGTAGCATAAGAATCGATGCTGCGTGATGCATTTGATTCCCTGACATGGCAGCAGGGTTCGAGTACAAAATCGTTGGAAATGGGGAGGACTCGCTCGAAGGGATTGTCATGATGGGATGCAATGGAGCCGGGCGCTCTTGGTACCATTCAGAGATATACTTCCACAACTTGAGCCATCGAGTCCGGAACTTGGCTTCGTCGCGAGTTGGATCAGTAGGGGAGGCGGCTAACAGATCCAGGACTTGAGCCGTAAGGTACACAGCATAGTTTGCCCAGTCCTCAAACGTTGGAGCGTTTTTGAAAAGCTCGACATCGTTTTCGATCGACAACGTCTTGGACGCCCAATGGCAGATAGGAATGAGAGTCTTGACTGACGATATGAGTCCACCGCAGATATCCATACGCGCGAAGCACCAGAACAAGGCTTGCTCTGTCCCTCCTACGAACCCATTGATGCCAACAGCTTCCATGAGACTCGCACAGCCATCGAGATGGCGTTGCCATGCCTTTGGCGAACAGCTCAACATCTCCAGCACGCAAAGGATAACACACGTGGCGATGACAGCTGTTCCGCGGGTCGGCAAATGTGGGAGGAGCATATGAATGGCTTCTTGATAGAGGGCGAGGCTGCGATTCGTCGGTAGTGTATGCTTAAGTTCGAGTTGTCTTGCTGAGAGGGCCAGCATTGAGTATCTTAAGTGGTCATTTTCTTTGCTCATTGTAGGGATAATCTGCTGGAAATGACGGTCTCGGTCGAACTTGTCGAGCCAAGGGGCGATTTCGTCAAAGTAGTTCTTCCATAGCGAGCATTCCTCTTGCTGAGAGAGCAGGGGTGTCTGCGAGGGCTGAAATTCTTGTAATGGGATTGTGACCTCGGTCTCTTCCAAGGAGACGCCGCCTGAGCTTTCAACCTCTATATGCGGCGTTGTTGATCTTGTTGGAGCAATTGACCGCGTCTCTTGGATGAGGTGATTACGGAGTGTCGAGTGTAACTCGTGGTATGCAGAGCCTGGCAAGAAGATTCCGTCTTCGGAGATGCCCTCAGGGGTAAATGCTTGCATCTGGTCAATGTAAGGATAGTCTGCTATCATGTCAATTGGGACCGCCTCCATGGAAACCTGCAGAGTAGGATCAATGTCGACTGAGGAATGAGATTGCCCGTTTTGGCTGAAGTAAAGTAGGTCGGCTACGGCGTTTTCGGTCTGGCGCTGTGATGTCGGTGAGGAGATGTCGACTACCGGCGGTCGCTGTATAGAGACATAGCCACTTGGTGTATTGTTTGCGGCGCGAGGTCTCGCGCCAACAATGAGATTTGAGCGACCTAGAAGAATGTCAGATCTACAAACGGCCCATGATGCAGATCGTGTTCATACCAGAAGTGTTTGTCCGCGCACGATCATCACTAGTCTCGTTATCCTCCTCCTCTGTCTCAGCACCGTTGTAATCACGAATGACTTCATCCGTCACATCCAGAATCTCAAACTCCCTTGGCTGCCTCCTCCTCGCCATCTTCCGCATCGAAGGATGCCGCGCATTTAAACATTGAGCATGCTCGGCTCGAAACGCTATCTTCAGCCCCCATTCGCAAGACTCATTGCGACGACGACAAGTTCCGCAGGCCGGCCGGCTCTCATCGCATTTACGCTTCTTGCGTCTGCAATTGAGACACCCGGAGCGGGTCCGCTTATGCTTGATGGGCTCGGACCGGACTCGGGCCCGAGATGCGGAGGGACGGTTCATAAGTCAACTGTAGCCGGAGTTGGGATTCCGTGTGAAAATTGGGTGATGTGACTTATTGGGAGAACGAGTGGAGATGAAAGTGAAGGCGATAGTGAAGATGTCCAAAAGTTGGAGGGGCAGGGCAATTGTAGACGCCAAAATCTGGGGTCCGGCCTGCGGTACCAAAAAGACTCGTGATCGGCAATTGTTCCAGAAAACTGCTAGAGGGAATTAAAATACTGACGAGATCTATTAATTTGCAGGCAATTGATGCTGAACAGAATAAAAAAGCAAGTCTTTTCTGGTTCCCCGACATACAAGCCTCGGGGGCAAGAAAACAGCGAGCTTTGCTGTGAGGTGTCAAAATAAACTAAGTAAAAGTCATGCTAAGCTTAGGCTATATTACCTAAGTCTTTTTGTCACTCAAGATCGAGGTATTATGTTTTCTTTCCTCCCCTAGATAAGTCTTCAACTCGAAACATTCCTGAACTGGGATTAGTTCACCTCCGCTTACAATTGCCTTTTGTGCCCAGGACAGGCAGCGTGACGTTCTTTAGTGGGTGGACAGTGCTCTTCACCCTGGTCTGCCTTGACTGTACTCGGCTAGACCACCATCATCACCAGGATAAAGATATTCCCCAGGAACTTGTAAGCGAAGAAACAGTTCCATCCAATTGCCGACTGCGCCAATCACCTCAATTGGCTCGAGTATCTAATCCATCACAAAGACCTTCGAGAATACTTACAACACCAAGAGCTCCAGGATCAGGAATGCCGCCCTCCTCGTCGAATCTGTCCTGCCCAACGTAGCTAGCCCGTCCTAGGGCCGCTACCATCTTCCGTGTACTCTCAGCACCCTTCCGCGCCTCTACCAGAGCAGCTCTTAGTGAGCCATCTAGGGAGTAGTTCTTGACAAATGGTATAAGTGCATCCATTAGTGTGCGGTGACCGATTCGTGCGGGCGTGTATCTGCATAGCTCGTCTAGGCCACTCTGAAGAGCTTGTTGTATGAAATCGAAGACTGTAAGCGAGGAAGAGTTGACAGTCAATTCTAAGAGTCGGTTTGCTACAGCGTTGAGAAAGATGGCGTAGATAGCACCCGACGTGCCGCCCATGCTCCTTTCTGCAGTTGTTGCTGTTCGGCGGAAAATTTGGCCAATGTCGAGAGAAACTGCGTCGTCGTTTTCGAACTCTTTCACGAGACCTGCAACTCGACAAGATTAGCATTGCTGCATCTTAATTGATGAAGCTTGTTGGGGACGTACCAGTAACTCCATTCAGAAGTGTCTCTCCACAGTCTCCATCGCCCGCAAGCGTATCGTATTCTGTGATCTTGGGCTCATCTCTTGCTGTTGTTCGTGCTACTGACTCGATGAGAACCTTGACAAGTGATGTCGGGACTGCAAATGATCAGTTCGATGACAACAGATAGCTTTATTCCCGACATACCTTTGACTCCTGTCTCCCTAGTATTGGCCTTCGCAACAGGGACTGTGGTCTCACGCTTCGATACAGACTCCGCGTCTGTTGCCCAGCCGTGAATCGAACGTGGCCAAGCAGGCGCCGTAGTGGGAGCGTCAAGCAAGTCCGCCAACTCATCGTCGAGTGACAGTAGAGTAACAGAGAAGCCAGGTCCATCGAGAGACGTAATGAAGGTGCCGACAAGACTCCTTTCAATATGTATGTTTCGTTGAGCCAGCTGCTTTACCACCTCGTCTGCAACAACACCAATCTCCAAGACACTTAAGCCGCCCAGGTTGTTGACCATCAAAGCTACCCGCTGCCCCTTTCCCGGTTGCCACATATTGGCTTTGGGAGTAAACATCATGCTCAAAGCCTTCTCAACTGTAACCTCAAGGCTCGTAATTTCTTCACGCTTGACACCTGGCTCGTTGTGTATTCCCATACCGAATTCGAGTTGGCCATGGGGAAGGGCCTCTTGAATCGCCCGTCCGGGAACACTACATCGATCGAGACTCGCTGCGACAGTGGCCATTTGCGATGCGGCTTTTCTTGTAGTAGAAGCGACTTGTTCGAGGGAGGCTCTGTGTATAGGAGGTCAGCTTTGGCTTGGTCAGTATGAAGGATAGGCATACCCCTGAGCTGCCTTTGCGCCAGCAATCTTATGGCAGAAGACTGTTCCCGCAAGACCACGCTGACCGACAAGCGTGTTTCCCTCTACCGAAACATCATCTCCAACAATGACCATCTCGACCTTTTGTCCGTCAGCCTTTGCCTTCTCTGCTGCGAGGCCGAAGTTGAGTTTGTCGCCTGTGTAGTTCTTGACGATCATCAACGATCTACTCCTGGTTAGCCGGACACTCGACTTCTATGGGACATAGGTTTACCCTTTTGACGACTTAACCGTCTGTAGGCCTGTGAGGATCTGCGAAGCGGAAGGGGAGGCAAAGATCTCGCCAGCGACTACAACGTCCAATGCTCCCTCGCCGACGTATCCTGCGTGCGCGGGTTCGTGGCCGGAGCCTCCTCCGGAAATAAGGATGACTTTGTCATTACTCTGATCCGTTCGTCGGTAAAGCACTGAAGGGGCTGTTAGTTTATGCTTGCGTAGTGTTGTAGGTCATGGTCTCACCCTTTTCTGATGGGATAAGACTCAACGAAGGGTCGTGGAGGATGCAGCTCCTCAGGCTTCGCTCGACTGAGTTGGCGACGCCATTGATAAAGCTCTTTCCTGAGGTTCTTGGTCAACAGTTGGCTCGTATTGCTTCCACAAGCACATACCGAGTGTCATGATTGTGAGGTGTGTTTGTCGTGTGTTATGGTGTCGGTGTCACACAAAGCGCTAGCACTTGGTCAAGCAGAAGAATTGTTTGCTATTATATCATCTTTGATACCAAATGGCATCTTTATCTTATGGTTCTCAGTAGGGCGTTCCCAGATTCCTAATCCGACCATGGCTCTGATGCTCTTCGCGATATTGTCAGCACAAACTTCAGACAGCCATTTGAGTATATCTCACGGCAAAATCGGATAAGGGAAGTGTACGCACCCTGGGAGAGTATACAATGCGTAAGGTGTAGGGCATCTGCATGCGAATTAGTGTCGTCCCAACCGAAAATGCCATCGCCCATTCTGGGGTCTTGCAGTGAGGAGTGGAGATGTAGATAGGGAGGGGAACTCCAACTTGCAGCCGATCTTGGTAGGTCTAAGCGGACCTTGGCAAGCATCCAAATTGCTCTGGCATCAAGACCAAGGCTTTACTTCGACCAATTGAGCAATTACCAGAGTTTTTGTGCTTGTATCCTTTGACAATAAAGAATTTGTCTTTCTTAGCTGCACAAATAATTGATCAACAAGACCCCCTAATAGAGAACCTACGCTTAGGCATACTGCAGCTATCCCGCCTGAGAAAACCACGTCTTCTGCTACATCATCAACTGCGTGCACAGATATTTTCGCTAAACCATCCGTCTCCAATGACACCCCCAATTCACAATTATCGTATCGTTCCATCGGCTACGACTCACCTTTTCGCAAAACCAGGGCAACTCACGAGCCCCATCCCTGAATTCGGCTGCCTAAATGCCCCATTTTCTCTCCAGCGCTTGCAAATGCCTCACGTCTCTCGAAATCGGAACCGTTCGTCTAACCCGCAAAAACCCCAGATGATCCAATGTTACGGTACAGTGGACTCCCCACGGGGAACTGGCGCCATGTCACGGCCTTGGAACGAACCTTGTTTCGCGCGAGTCAACAGTTGATCTAATTTTCTCGACGCCGAATTATCACTTTGGAGGAGTATATATTGATATGGAGTCGCCCCATCTTTTACTGTTGCGTGACTTGTAGCATCAACGTTGGTTGTTGAATAGCTTCTTTCCATCTCTTCACTTCTTGTCAACTCTTCACCATGACGATCCTTGTTGGAAGACCCTTGGACTGGGCCATCACGGCTACAGCTGGCTCTGGCTTCCTCCTCTTCGGTTATGATCAGGGTGTCATGTCTGGCCTGTTGACAGGTACAGCATTTACCAACACTTTTCCCGAGATCGACACTACAGATGGTGGCAATGGCAGCTCATCTCTCCAAGGAACAGTCGTCGCCATCTACGAGATCGGTTGCTTCTTCGGCGCCATCTTCTGTCTCATCTTTGGCGAGTACTTTGGTCGTCGCAAGTGTATCATGATGGGCTGTGTTGTTCTCAGCATCGGAGCTGCTCTTCAAGCATCAGCTTTTGGAATCCCTCAGATGATCGTTGGTCGTATTGTAGCTGGCCTCGGGAACGGCATGAACACCAGTACCATTCGTAAGTTGCCCCTGACTTAGTTACAGATCTCGACTAACAATCTTCAGCTGTATGGCACTCTGAGCTCATGAAAGCTAGCAACCGTGGCAAGGGTCTCGCCATCGAACTCGCAATCAACATCTTCGGTGTAATGCTCTCATACTGGGTTGACTACGGCATGTCCTACGTCAGTAATGACGCCCAGTTCCGCTTCCCTCTTGCCTTCCAGATCTTTTTCGCCATCCTGACCTTTATCGGCATCGTTCTTCTTCCCGAATCTCCTCGTTGGCTCATCAACCATGATCTCCACGACGAGGCACGCGAAGTTCTTTGGGCTGTGCGCCGAGATGCCAAGTCTATCTCCAAGGATGATGAGACAGTCAGCCGTGCCATTGCTGAGATTCAGCATGCTATCAATGAGGAGCGCGAGGCGGCACAGACGAGCAGCTTCAAGGCTATGTGGAAGAATGGAGAGCAGAAGTTCCTGTACCGAACAATGCTCGGTATTGGTGGACAGTTCATGCAACAGGTAAGGCACCATTCTACTGTTTCTTTCTTGGATCCTCACTAACACTCTCCTCTAATAGCTTTCTGGTATTAACCTTATCACATACGTGAGTGCCCTGGACTGAAATATACATCCGTTTAGACCCGAACGACTGACACAAAGTCACAGTATGCTCCCGTCATCTTCCAAGAATCAGTCGGCATTTCCCATAACCTGAGTCTCCTACTTGCTGGCTTCAATGGAGTTGCCTATTTCTTCTCTTCGCT